CAAAATCCAAAAGCAGAAACAAATCTGAAAGCAGATGTTTCAAGCATGAACAGGGACAGTGTGAGTGCAAGGAGAAGAACTGGAGCTGGAGCACAAGAATTTGTCCAAGCAACAAAATATCTGAGTGCAAGTGCACAGTTTGAGCACAAGCAGGGGCTGTTTGAGTGAGAGTGTAGGGTTTTGTGTGTATGCATTACAAAATCTAAATGTGACATCAGTAAGTCCTGCTCTCAAACGAATCAACAACTATTGTTGGAATTTTCTTTCACATTTTTATGAAGCAATGTAGTTGAAAGAAGAGGCTGTTTGGATTTCAAGGTTGTTTTGACGTTACCTGTCTGTTTGTTGCTTTATTTTTTTATGCAAGAACTACTACAGCTATTTCCACCAAACTTGCAGGATGAATTGGGCCTGGGAAGAACTCATGATATCCAGTTTTTTATTGTTCTTTTGTATTTCTAAGAACTAAACAACCATGGGATATTTGCCGGTGGCAGAGTTATGTGCTCTACTGAGTGCCATTCTACTTTATCAAGCAATTTGTCATTATTTATATCTGATCCAATGTTTTTAGCCAAAATCAGACCACATCATATTTTATTCTTCAGTTCTGCCAAAACTGCACATTTTCCTTGAAAGGTACAGTAGGTAACAGCAACAACAAACTTTTTGTAAGTTAGTTAAATCTGTAATTATGATCTGATAACAGTACATGAGGCAGATAATATTAGATAAAAAATGTATCTGACTCCTCTGGCTCCACCTACAGCTTGTACTGCAATTTGGAAGAATCCAAAGTTCTCACTTCTTAACCGCCAATCAGCACCAGAAGGAGTGTCACTAACTGCTCAGCCACACCGTTGTTTAATTTGAAAGTTGTGAAGTGGGTTGATGTTTGTTCTGACTTAAGAAGTCTGTGCTTACACAGCTAAGTGTTGCCGTGTTGGTTTAGCATTAACCACAAGTTGGCTTCACAGGCCCGCTCAGCAGTTCTCATGTTACTGTAGTGAAGTGGGCTATGGTTAGCTTGTCATGACTGTTACTGGTGGTTAGCATCATGTTATCGCATTTGCAAAGTTGCTGCAAATGTCATGACAGTCTCTCTGTTGTTTTTCTGGTTGCTGTGGTTACTGTCCTGTGCTGGTACTGCAGCAGGGAAGGGCTTTGCAGACAGTTTCCCAGCGAAAACGGGAAGTCACGCCTCTTTTTTGAAATCCTACTGACTGCAGCTTTAACTCAGAAGGAAAGTTTCGCACGATATTCCTGTTTGCAGTTCTTTTCAGAAAAGCAAAGATTTATACACATATGTGCTTAACAATCATTGGCATTAGTGATTTATAAATCCAAGCAAAATAAATTGTGACATTGTGTTGTTCCTTCTGTAACTAGTGTCCCTGCAGCAGCCCAGCATCTCCCTGACATCTGCTGATGGTGGACTGCACTGGAGTCCTGAAGCTGCAGAGATCACAAAGGGTCACAGCTTTGTCATCACCTGCTCGATTTCCCCCCAATTCCCTGAAGGTGTTTTCTCTCTCTTCTTCTGTGGCTTCAACACCACTGACACCAAGCCTGTAGTCAACCACTCAGCCTCCTTTGAGTTCCCCATAGCTGAGTATGAACATCAGGGCAACTACAGCTGTGTCTATGAGGTCATACTGTCCTCCAGGACATTTTCTGCAGTGACCACATCGATTAGGGTCATCATTACATGTAAGTAGGCTCAAATAAAGTGAACAGTTGATGCATCTATTTTCTGCTGGTTTTATGGACAGATTTGTGTCTGATGATATAAGATTCAATTATACTGCATGTAAAATGTTTGGCATATGCATTAGGTGTAATGCTGGTTCCTCATGAACCAACTATCTGTAACAGCACAACCACACACACACACACACACACACACACACACACACACACTCTTGCACCCATTGTGATCCTCCAAGATTCTAAGGAGCAGTTTGTTGTCAAGGTTGATGCTTCTGATGAAGAGTTAGGGACTGTATTCCTCAGTGCTCTGCAATCTACCAAAAAGTCCACACATGTACATTCTTCCCCTGCAACCTACGGTATCTCCAACAGCATGCAATCACTACAACCAGGTACTGCTTGCTAGTCGGTAGTGCTTGAGTTTTTATTTGCAATAGACTATATGTACTCAATTCTGTCTCCCTTCGATTCAACCGAGGTTCCCTGTGTAAAACAACATCACAACTCCTAAGAGAGGACATTTCCAATTAATACATTTATTTAGGGAACATTTAACCATCACTTACTTATGGGAGGTAACAAAAACAAAGATATTATTGTAAATTAAACAAAAGAACTGGACTGTCGTCACTTTTGAGTGTCCCCGAGAAACACTTCCATTGTGTTGTGAGTATTTGCTGTGCAATTTCTATTTTCCGAGCATCTGTCATCAAATTGATGAAAATGTTTGTTTCGTTGGCAGGTGTGTCTATTTGCATGTGCAGTTCTTAAAGAAAAACATGCAGGACTGTACGTTTAATAGGGAAAATAAATATATAGAGAAGGACATGTCACAGTAAAGTTTTTCTCTCCTAGTTTCTTTGTTGTGGCTGGTCTCCTCGGTAGCTGCTGGGAGCCTGGTGCTGCTCCTGCTGGTTCTGGTGGTGATCTGTCTGGTCCGCAAGAGAAGACAGCAAGCGGTGGCGTCTGGAGTCCTTCAATGTCTGTGCTCCCCAGGACACACTTCACATTATGTGAAACTGTTGCCTGTTTTCAAGACACTTAAATATCTTTGTTTCTGTGTTCTTGACTGCTGTCATTTGTAGTTCATGCCATATCCTCTTTTCCTGCTCATGTTCCAGTGTCTGTCAGGAATCTCAATGAAGACCTTGAGGATGATGAGGAGCAGCACTATGAGAACTTTGTACAAGCGAAGTACAAGAAGAGGCAGAAGGTGCAAGCAAGCGGACTGGTGGATGGAAAGAGTAAATATCTTTGCTTTTGGTTCATTTATATATTTGTTATATGAGGAAGACAAAATCCAAGAGCAGAGCATCCAAGAGCCTTTTGATGAGGCAATGGAGTTGCAGGAAAGTGTAGTTTGGATTTCAAGGTTCTTTTGACAAGGTTACCTGTCTGATTGTTGGTTTAATTTATATGCAAGAACTACTTCATCTATTTCCAGCAAACTTGCAGGATGAATTGGGCGCGGGAAGAACTCATGACTGTTAAGGGCCAGGCTTGGACACAGATGCAGAGGCTGAGACAGGTTTAAAGTCACTGAGGTTTATTGGAAAAGTCCAATAGCTTAAGCAGGCAGGTAGACAGACAGGTAAGCAGGCAGGCAGGACTCTGGAGCTGGAGTCAGGGCTGTAATCCAGCTGCTGGTCCTGAGCAGGAAGACAGGAAAGGTTAGGATGCGGGATCAACAGGACGTTTACAGAATCTAAATAGTTACAAAAGCAGCAGCTATAACTAACTTGAACTGACTCTATAGTCCGGCGCAGACTGAGAGCAGTAGTGGAGCTTATATAGGCCAGGTCTCGTAATCCAGGTCTTATTCCGGCAACAGACGGTGCAGGCTGCTACGAATGAGCGAGTATCCGTGTCCATGGTCGACCACCAGAAGCGTCGCTTGAGGAATGAGATAGTACGGTGGATCCTCGGATGACAGGTAAGGCGGGAGGAGTGTGCCCACTGCAGTACCTGAGAGCGGACAAAGTATAGGACAAAGAGACAGTTAGGAGGTCCAGTACCTGGATCGGGCTGGGTGGTCTGAGCCTGACGGACCGTGGCTTCGACCTCCCAGGTGAGAGCAGCGAGGATGCAGGACTGAGGGACGATAGTCTCTGGTTCCGCGTGGAGCTCCTCCACCGTGAACTGGTGGGACAGGGCGTCCGGCTTCACATTCCTGGACCCTGGACGATATGTCAATGTGAAATTGAATCTACCCAGGAACAGGGCCCACCTTGCCTGACGAGAGTTAAGCCGCCTGGCTGTCTGGATATAGGCAAGGTTCCTGCGGTCCGTCCAGACAATGAAGGGGTGCTCCGCACCYTCGAGCCAGTGTCGCCACTCCTCTAATACCAACACCACAGCAAGTAGCTCTCGATTGCCAACATCATAGTTCCTCTCYGGGGGATCAAGCTTGTGGGAGAAGAAAGCACAAGGATGCATCTTGTTATCTAGGGGAGAGCGTTGGGATAGTATAGCACCTACCCCAGTCTCAGACSCATCCGTCTCCACAACAAACTGAAGTGATCGGTCAGGGTAGACAAGGATGGGAGAGGAGATGAACAGGCRCTTGAGGTTGGAGAAGGCTGCCTCGGCCTCAGGAGTCCAGCGGAATGGAACTGAGGAAGCGCTGTCAGAGGAGCTGCCATGGTGCTGTAGTTCCTCACAAACCTCCTATAGAAGTTGGCAAAGCCGTTGAAGCGCTGCAGCTGCTTGCGATTGGTAGGAGTTGGCCAGTCCGCGACAGCAGAGACCTTGGCAGGATCCATCCGGAGCTCCCCCTGAGAGATGACGAAATCAAGAAAGGAAGTAGTGGTGGCATGAAACTCACATTTCTCGGTCTCGACAAATAGCTTGTTCTCCAGGAGTTGCTGCAACACTGTGCGAACATGCTCCTGATGATCCTGAAGAGAGTGGGAGTAGATAAGAATATCATCCAAGTAAACAAAAACAAAACGTCACGGAGCACATCATTTACTAGGGCTTGGAAGACTGCTGGGGCATTTGAGAGACCAAAAGGCATAACTAGGTATTCAAAATGACCTAACGGGGTATTGAAWGCGGTCTTCCATTCATCCCCCTTCCTGATGCGCACCAGATGGTAGGCGTTGCGCAGGTCCAGGGTGGTGAAGATGGAGGCTCCTTGAAGAGGGACAAAGGCAGAGTCAATGAGAGGCAGAGGATAYTTGTTTTTTACTGTRATGTTGTTRAGMCCTCTATAGTCMACACAAGGTCTTAAGGTGCCGTCCTTCTTCCCGACAAAGAAAAATCCAGCACCCACTGGAGAGGATGATGGACGGATGATCCCAGCCGTCAGGGACTCCTGAATGTACTTCTCCATGACCAGTTGCTCTGGACGATTAAGTTTGTACAGTCGGCTGCTGGGATGAGGGGCCCCAGGCAGAAGCTCAATGGCACAGTCATACRGCCGATGAGGAGGAAGAGAGAGAGCCTGCTCCTTGCTGAAGACTGGGGCGAGGTCATGGTAAACTTGGGGAACCGAGGACAGGTCCGGGGGCACCGCTACAGGCGGTGGCTCAGATGTGGGACTTTGGGCAGAACGGTGACAGTGAGAGTGGCAATATGGACTCCAGGAACGGATCTTTCGTGTAGTCCAGACAAAATGTGGGTTGTGGAGTTTCAGCCAGGGAAATCCCAGGAGTAGGGGAACGTGAGGAGAGTCAATAATATGAAAATGGATCTTCTCCTGGTGATTTCCAGATAGATGTAAGGGTATGGGGATGGTTCTACGGTCAACCCTGGCCAGTAACATACCATTTAGGGCCTTGGTATCCAGTGGAACATCGAAGAGTTCCGTTTCGATGCCCAACTGCTGACAAACCCTACTGTCAATGAAACTCTCATCAGCCCCTGAATCAATTAGAGCCGTGAATGGGAATGCCCTCCCTCGCCACAAGAGGGAGGCATCGAGCTGCGGACGGTCAGGGGGAGAGGGACTCACAACGCGACTCGACAGTAACTCTCCCATTACTGCCGAGCCGGACCTTTTACCGGGCGGATGGGGCAGTTAGCAATGAAATGACCAGCTCGGCCACAGTACAGGCAGGACTGGGTCTTCATTCTGCGGTTCTTCTCCCCAGAGGACAGACGGAGGCCGTCTATTTGCATGGGCTCTGGTTCGGAAATCTCCGGCATTTATCGGCGAGGGAAGTCAGCTGTTCAGAGCGACAGTAATCTGGGGAAACAGCGGAGTCCGCACGCCACAGCAGGAGTTGATCGCTGGTTTTAATGGCGAGTTGAATGACCTCATTCATTGTCTTGAACTCTCCCCGGAGTGCAATCTCCCTCCCAATGTCCTGGTTTAAGCCATTCTGGAACGCCGTGATCAGTGCGGCCTCGTTCAAGCCCGACTCCACCGCCAAACCTTGGAAGTGAATCACAAACTCCCGGACTGTCAGACCTCCCTGGCGGATCCTTGAGAGCTGCTGCCCGGCTTGCTGGCCCCATATCGGGTGATCAAACATCCGCTTGAGCTCAGTAGCAAAGGCATCGGCAGACACGGCCAGCGGAGAGTTTTGCTCGAAGAGGGCATTATATAAGCTGAGCGGACGGCCCTCTAATAAGTTAACCAGGTAAGCGATCTTAGCATTATCACTAGCATATCTAATGGGCTGTGCATTGAAGGCTAATTGGCATTGGGTGAGAAACTGGCGACAGGTGTTGGGATCCCCAGAGTACTTAGCTGGTCGAGGAATCCGGGGTTCCAGGGCAGCAGAGGCAGGTTGTGCGGCTGGAGGGGCTTGTTGAACCGGAGCAGAGACCTGAGCGGCGGGGGCAGGATCCGTGTCCAGCCGAACGATGAGAGCAGACAGGGTTTATTAGAAAAGTCCAATAGCTTAAGCAGGCAGGCAGGCAGGCAGGCAGGAGTCTGGAGCTGGAGTCGGGGCTGTAATCCAGCTGCTGGTCCTGAGCAGGAAGACAGGAAAGGTTAGGATGCGGGATCGACAGGACGTTTACAGAATCTAATAGTTACAAATAGCAGCAGCTATGACTAACTTAAACTGACTCTATAGTCCGGCGCAGACTGAGAGCAGTAGTGGAGCTTATATAGGCAGTTGGTCAATCAAGGCCCCAACTCCAGCACACCAGGTTCACATCAGTAATCAGCCACGCACCTACACACCAACAGAGAGATAGAGAGAGGGAGAAAGAGAGAGCTAGTAGGCAGGTGAGGAGGAGGGCATGACAATGACATCCAGTTTTGAATCATTCTTTTATATTTATCCTATAAGAACTAAACAATTATGGGATTGTTTAGCGGTGGCTGAGTTATGCGCTCTACTGAGTGCCATTCTACTTTATCAAGCAATTCAAAAGATCAATTTGTTGTTTTTGATATCTGATCCAGTATTTTGGGCCAAAATCCGACCACTTCTAATCCACATCATATTTTATTCTTTGGTTCTGCCAGCACACATTTACGACACACTTAAATATCTATGTATCTGTGTTCCCGACAGCAAATAGCCATGTGATTTCTAGTTGGCTCTCATATTCATGGCAGATCCTCTTTCCCTGCTCATGTTCCAGTGTCTGTCAGGAATCTCAATGAAGACCTTGAGGATGATGAGGAGCAGCACTATGAGAACTTTGAACAAGCGAGGTACAAGAAGAGGCAGAAGGTGCGAGCAAGAGGCCTGGTGGATAAAGATCATGATGACTATGAGAGAAAAGAACGTGTGCAACGCGGTTGTGTGCAAAGCCAAGTCACCAGTGCTGCGTACCACTGTAAAAATTTAAACCAGCTCTTTACTGAAGACTCTCTGGACATTTATGGTGAAAAGGAAGATGTTTATCAGAACATTTCATTTTCTACTGCTGTACAAAAGCACAGGGAATAATAAACCCACAAACAGTATTATGTATTTCAAATTAATGTAATGTGCTTGTCCTGAGCAGGTTTATTTCGGTCACAGTTCCAAGGCAGCAAACACTCATAACAAATTCAACTGATTTTTGAGTGTGCCATCAATGGGCAATATAGTGCCACAATGCACAATGTGTGTAAGAAACCTTTCCAGAAAAATCTTTAAAATATAGAAGAGGATAGAATCTTTGAATAAGCATTTTTTATTTGTCTTAGCAAAGTTTAACTGGTAACTATTTATTATACAACATTGCACCTATCAAATAACTTCCTGATTCCAAAAATCTATAAGAAAAACACATTGATATTTTTTCTATTCATAATCTACAACATAAAATGATTATACCATTGAATAAGTCCAGTTGCCTTTTATTATATTTCTAGCATTTCTAGCTTGTGTGTGTGCCTGTTTGTGAGCATGTGTGTTGAGACGGTAGATTTCTGTGCCCTGTATTTGAGTCTCTCTGGGGTTTGTATGTGTGTATCTCTGAAGAATAAAAATATAAAAATCACTTAACATAATTTGTACAATGTGTTCCGTGATGATCATGATAGAGACCACAAGCCAAAAGGTGTTGAACTGACAATAAAGTTGTTCTTCATACTACTAGTGCTGCTGGAATGTTGATCTCTACATCTTCAAGAACCTCACACAAGTCCAGTTGACCTTTTGTAGACGTAGGATTTAGAAATTCCACGAGCTAGATGACAGCCATTACATACCCCAGATGATGATATCTGACTTCAAAGGGATAGTTCATTGAAATATGAAAGTTGACTAATTATCTACTCAGCACTATGCTGATGGAGGGGTGGGTGAAGTGTCTGAGTCCACAAAACACTTTTGGAGTTTCAGGGGTGAACAACGTTGCAGCGAAATCCAATTGAAGTCACTGGGGATTACTTCTTCAAACATAAAAAAACTGGAAAAATAACATAAAATGCATCCCTACGTCCGTAAGCCCTGACATTCAAATTCGACTCAAAATGGTGTCATTTACACCATGTTTTAACCGGAAGTAACAGTGCTACCGTGCACCCTGCGCGTGCCCTTGGGCGAGAGCTTGTGCATTCTGTGAGTACGAATGTGACCGCAGCTCCAGAGGAGGATATCAGACATGATGTAAATTATGTTGTTTAGAGTCAAATTTATATGTCGGGGCTTACGGACACTTGGATGACACCACAGGAGCAGTATGGAGGCATTTTAAAGGTCCAGTGTGTAGGATTTAGGCGAAAGGGAACTATTGGCAGAAAATGTATGTAGAATAATCCTCATGATGTTTTCACTAGTTTGTTTCATATGAATTGTTTGAATTGTAGTTTTCTTTACCCCAAAAAAGGCCCTTCATATTTATATACTTTATACTTATGTAAGGCAGCTAAAGTGTTGCGCCACTAGGTGGTGCTGCAGCCCTGTTTTGTTAAGTGTTTGATTTATGTGTTTAATGTAGATTGTACCTTGTGACATGCCGTAGGGTTGACTGTGTTAAGCGTGAGGCACAGTGCCATCTTCCATTATAGGTAAGTCAAGCTGCTGTCACTGTGATCTATGAATGTGATACGTTTTTGACCGGGGACAAAAAGTGCATGTCAACGAATTTATTCAGCAATAAACCAGTTCACAGTTTAAAACATATAAATCGTTTTGAAGTGGGCAGTTTTTCAGCTTGAAAACGATGTGTAATGTGACACAGTTAATGTTACTAGCTGCTAAGTGTTAGCTCCGGCTCAGTGAATGTGCTACCTTAAAAATGTTCTGAATACATGAAAGTGATTGAGATTGCACTGTTAACCATTATAAATGCCGCATGTGCCATCAATAAAACCTGTCGCCACCATTTCCGAACTACTTCGTCTCCGTGTCCGTTCCTTTGGAGCTCAACCGCCCGCACCGGATAGGCAATTCAACAAAAAATTCTACACACTGTACCTTTAAGTTTTTTCTGTTTGTATAAGGCGTACTCAGTTACTTCAACACCTTTCTCCCACGGTTTTGACTTCACTCTTACCATGAGTCAATGATGTGCTTGGATTTCTGTTCCCTTCAGTGGGTTCACTCGCAGCCTCTGAGCTGTGATGCGAATGCACCGGTGCACGTTACCCTTTGACCACTAGATGTCCTCCTCCTCACCATGACAGCTGCTGGCTCAGAGCCGGGGATCCTCTTGTTGTCTCTATAGCGCGCACACGCACACTGCGCATCATGGCCACGCCCCTCTCGTGCATAATTCATCAGCTACCGGAGGAGGAGGCTCGTGCCCCCGGAGCTGCTCAGCTCGTGTGACGGATAATAATGGTCACAACATCAGCAGAGACGCAGACACACAGAGACACAGAGACACGGCTGTGCGGTAATGAATGGACGATCCGCCCCACGCACAACGAGCCCGCTGGTTTGGACCGGAGATTTACGAAGGAGCGACCGAGGGTTTGATATCAACCCGACCCTAACCTATTATCTGCCGGCCTGACATCATCCTCACCGCTGCGGGTCTGCGGGGAAACAAACACTCACGGTAAGCCCACACCGTCCGTGGGTTGTGTGTGTGTGTGTGTCCGTGTGTCTCTGTGAGCAAAGGAAGTGGCGCTAGATATTGTAGTAAGATGGCTGGGTGTGTGTGTGTGTGTGTGTGTGTGTGTGTGTGTGTGTGTGTGTACTCACATCTCCCACCCSTGCAGCCATAATTAAAAAAAAAAAAAACAACCAAATATTAATTATGATAAGAATATTTTCAGAGAAAATGATAATTGCACCCATTATTATTGTTGTTGTTGTTTTGTAATTGTAACATGGCCCCTGATGGATAATCTACTGGACACTGAACTGACTGGCTCTGAGTTACTGCAGAGATATTCTAATGATACTATCATAATTGTATGATGATAATGTTTCCTGACACAGAAGCACACTGACATTGTGTCGTGGTGATGTTACAGCCACTACAATGTAAAACCCAACGTGCTAAGATAGGAGGAACACAGGTGAAAGACTGGAAAAGATCAACTGTGTGTGAATGTGCGTAGATTATTTTACTTTTCCTTAGCTGTGTCCCATTGTCATTTCTCCTGCAATTTGGACACAATTCAATTTCCTGTTGGTTGTACTGTGGTGGGTGTGTGTTTCAACCAGCTGGTAGAGAACAGTTGTTTTGGCAAGAAACAGAAATGGTTTAAGTAACTTTTATTTTTCCTGGCTCAGGAATGGTTATGGTGATGGTATTACCTACCTCCATAGTCCTACCTACCTAAAGCTATCTATCTATCTATCTATCTATCTATCTATCTATCTATCTATCTGTCTATCTATCAATTTATCAATCTATACATGAAACTGGATGCTGTGGGTCTAGTAGACGAGGAGATGGAGCTGGGCGATAGTGAACATCAGAAGAGGTCTGCTGAGGGTGGGAGGCTGAATAAATAAGACACATAGGTTGGACATTTGTTTTATTTAGCTGTTTTAGTTGATGCCCCTAACATTTAAAGTGAGGTAATGTCAGAACCCCTGAAGGCCACATGCTGCTGCTGATGTTGAAGGCTCATGATATATCATGATATTTTATTATTATAACATGAAAATAAACATTCTTAATGATATCTGTGCATCAGATGCTTTCATACAATTATTTTCTGGCCATTTTGCATTAACCTAGAGAGAGAGACACGAAGCAAGGGAGGGAGTATGACTTTGACCTGTGTATGTTGTATGTGCCTTGCATATCTGTCCACCGCAAGCCCCACAATGATATCCTTGCTTGTCTGCGATGGTGTGCGACCAGGGACATAGATATATAGATAAATAGACATACTTTATTCATCCCCGAGGGGAAATTCTTGTGTTCCAGCAGTACAGACATGTGCAATAAGTACAATTCTTTTTCTTTCTTTTTTTTACATAGAAGAGTATACATGTAGGACAGTGACTGAGTTGTTCAGACAGAGCTAAATTGAGGCAAAGTTAAAACAGAGGAGACTGGTTGAATGTTTCAGTAATCAAGAAGCATAAGAACTTAAAAACATAAAACAGTGCAAAGAGTAGATGTGGTACAGCGATAAAGTGATAAAACAGTGCAAGTAGTAAGTGATACAGTGATGTGCAAAAGAGAGTAGCTACATGCATTCAGGGACCATGGGAAGTACAGGACGGGACTGATCAGACTGTGATTGAAAGACTGGATCTGGTGGTCAAAGGATCATTTGCTTTTTGTGGATGGAATAGAGGGTGCCAGACAGGATCTTCTCTGTTACATCAGACATTAAGGAAGCTGTCAGTACCCTAGTCTTGGTGTTGTGTCTCTTGACCTTGCTGCGGTTGGGGGTGTAAAGTTGATCTCAGCCCAGAGATGGGCCATATCTCCTGTTATCCAAACTTACACCAGGATATGTGAGGCAGGAAGTAGGAGGTAGAGGGGCAGAAGGTCTCAGGGTCAGGGGCAACTGTAGATACAACCCAGATGGCATGACCCAATTTATTATCCTAGATTTTCACAGGCTACCTACAATATGTACTCATATAAGTGTAGGGCTTAAGTAGCACAGCAAAAATACAGACACGCTATTAAGCAGTGGGAGCATCAATTAGACATAAGTGTTCTCGAATACATCTGAAATTGGACTTCTCAAATATTTAGAAATGAATTTCACTAACACTTTGCTGCCTATAACCAAAACACTTTCAGTGAAATTACCAGAAAACACATCACTTGATGGTGGCCAACTCAGAAAACATCTACATAGCTAGCTAGTCGTCCAGCTATGTAACCTATATATTAACATATTTAGCTTGCTACTTTTGTGTCTAGCTATCGTAGCTATAGCTTGTTATATAGCACTTTTCTAGTCTTGATGACCAATTAAAACGCAACAGTACAGTTTGCCATTGAACCATTCGCACACACACATTCATACAGTGCATTTATTAGCAGCACATTTTTCTGAGGGGCAATTCAGGGTTCACTATCTTGCCCATGGACACTTCGACATTCAGATGGGGAAGACTGGGATCGAACTGCCGATCCTTCTGGTTGGAGGATGTACTTTAGTGCAG